GCAATCCAACGCAAGTCGCTTTATCTTCTAAATGCATAAATATAACAGATCAAATGTGTGTTTAATGTGTCAGATCTCCAGGCTGCTCTGAGACTGACCGCCGGGCCTTGCGGTAGATCCCTCGGCACTGCCGGCCGCTGCCGTGTTGTGACGGGTTATTGGGGCTCCGGAAGGACCACTGCACACTCTGAACTCCACACGGACCCAAACACTCGCCCCACGGGACCAGGACGACCAGCCGCAGTGAACTGACGACACACACACACACCGGGTCATTACCAGCAACACAACACATCTTTGAGTATGTTAATAGGTTATATATAGAGAAGAAAAACATAAATAGTGATGAAAGACAAAAATATTAAATATCACAGATGTGTATTTACTTGCGCTGGGCAACGATTAATCGCATCCAAGAGAAAATCATAAATGTGTGTGTGCTGTGTATAATTACTTTGTATATATAAATACACACATATGCATGTATATATTTAAAAAACATTTGTTATTTATATATAAAATATTTATATATATATATGAAGAGTTCAGATGCAAAAGCCTCTAAATGCCATTTGAAATTTTCATCTTTAATGATGATTTTTATCAAGCTTGTATATTTAAGTTCAGTAATTTCACTTAAATAACAATTAATAGGTAATCCTCATTGCCATTTAAGTGAAATCACTGAACTTAAATATACAAGCTTGATAAAAATCATCATTAAAGAAGAAAATTTCAAACGGCACTTAGAGGCTTTTGCATCTGAACTCTTCATATATAGTATATACATGCAAATATTTCTTTAATATATACAGATGAAGCTGGAAAAATTTGAATATCCTGCAAAAGTTTGTTTATTTCAGTAATTCCACTTAACATGTGAAACTAAATATATAGACTCATTACATGCAAAGTGAGATATTTCAAGCCTTTATTTGTTATAATTTTGATGATTACGGCTTACAGATATGAAAACTTTTTTTGACTTTGGGGTTTTCATAAGCTGAGTGTGTGTGTGTGTTTGAGTGTGTGTGTTCACCTGAGCACTCTAGGTTGGGCTGACAGCGCTGCGCTCGACCTCTCTCACACACACACATCTCACAGCCCACTTTGACCTGCTGACCCGGCCAGTACCGAACCCCAGACACCTCACACACACACTCCTCCGGCAGAACACACTGATGCTCGTGGTTCATGACCTTCCCATCAGGACACCAGCAGCCTGACAGCATAAAACACTGTTTCATTACAATAACATCAACAACAAAACAAAGCGTTTTATTATAATTATGAATTATTTATGATGGTTCTTGTATGGTTCGTAGATCTTATTATCATATAGACTCTCAGTGACATGAAGCTGGGAAGTATTGAGAGAAAAGAAACCTGTGAAACAGTCTGCGTTGGGGTCACATGTCGTTGCCCCGGATACGTGAGCGCAGGTCAGAGGGCACGGCGCACATGTGTGTGTGACGAGACCCGCGGGACACGAGGCGTTAGCGCAACCGTCTTGAGGACAGGGTTCTGGAAAACACATCTGCGTTCAGTCGTGGAACACTGATCTGAGATCAGACTGAGATTACACACACACACTGCTGGGATAGAAACCAGTTCAGGTCTGCTCCATCCCTCCCTCAAAATGACCCGAAGCCCGAAAATTATACTTACATTTTTTTTTGTCCAGAAAGCTTATTTAGTTTCATTTCGATAATATTTTTTTTTTTATTTAATGCAATTTTTGGGAGATTTTTTGTTATTTTTAATTTTATTTACCTTTTTTATCAACTTCTTAAAATTTCAACCACAAAACTTTGAAACAAATTTCAAACAAAATTTCCAGGTCAAAATGACCCAAGGGAAGGATGATGGTTAAATGGGCATGGATGGTTATAACCAGCTTTCCCAGTGAAACCAAAAGACATGCTACACTGGTAACCAGTGAAGGTTTCATCACTGTTGAAGTGGATCAGACCGAACACCAAAACACATTTTTAGCCAATCAGCAGCTAGGGGTGTGTCCACTCATGATGGGGAGTGTTTGTGAATTTGGGGGCGGAGCTATCAAGATTTACGGGTAGGACTTTCGGGTGTTCGTTTTGGTGATTTTAAAAATCAACAGTGTTTCTCAGAAACTGCTTACTGCACCTTTAAAATCTGGTGGATTCTGATTGGCTGTTAAGGTTTATTTGGTTTAAGCAGTGTATCCGCTGTCGGGTGTTCGGCTCTTACTGATGTCGACGGTGAGGGGAGTTTCTCCAGGTAGTTCAGTGCAGGTTCGGCCCTCCGTTCTGTGGCGGGAAACACTCTCTCTGGCGGACCTCAACACCACCACAACCTTGACTGCAGTTCGACCATGTGACCCACGGCAGCCAGTAGCCATCCACTGTTGGACAGAACCAAGAACTCAATATCTTACAATTATTATTACAACTGTAAGAAGGAGCTGTCAATCAACTCCTAGTTCGTGAGTATCTGATGTGAACGTCACCACTGGAGTTTATGAACAACAGCAGAGCTTTTATCTGGAAGAAATATTTCTGATTAATTAAATCAAGCTAATGTACCCTATATGTCCCAAAGGTCTGTGTTTCTGTGTCCAAAATGGTGTTATGTGATGAGCAGAGTGTGTTTTTACCCGGGCAGGCGGTGGAGTAACACTGCTGTCGTTGTGTTTGCTCTCCTCTGCAGTGTCCGTCTGGATCCTCTGGGTGGCAGCGTCTCTGCCGGCTCACGGTCCCGGATCCACAGCTGCGGCTGCACGGGCTCCAGGGGCTCCAGGGGCCCCAAACACCACAGCCCGTCTCATCGGACCCGTCCGACACACAGTCTGCTGCACCGTTACACAACTACAGACGGAAACACAACATTCAAAACTCTCCGTCAAATAGACACTTAAATGATTATTCTTGAATGTATTTATTTATACACGACCAGACCAAAGTTTTGGATCTGTAAGATTTTTAATGTTTTTAAAAGAACTATCTTTTGCTCACCAAGGCTGCATTTTTAACTGTTTTCTATGTGAATATTCAGTAAAGTGTAATGTATTCCTGTGATGTTCAGCATCATTACTCCAGTCTTCAGAAATCACTCTAATATGAGGATCTGATGATCAAGAAACAGTTATGATTATTATTATCAGTGTTGAAAACAGTCAAAAAACAGCATTTATTTAAAATAGAATCTTTTGTAACATTATAAATTTCTTTACTGTCACTTTTGGTCAATTTTATTCATCCTTGAAGAATAAAAGTATTGATTTTTTTTTTCTTTCCCCCCAAAAAATGTAATAAAAATTCTTACTGACCCTAAACTTTTGAACGGTTTAATGTTATAAAAGCTTTGTATTTCAGATAATGCTGTTTTTTTTTATTTCTATTCATCAAATAATACTGAAATAAAAATCATCAGATCCTCATATTAGAGTGATTTCTGGAGGATCATGTGACACTGAAGACTGGAGTAATGATGCTGAACATCACAGGAATACATTACACTTTACTGTATATTCACATTGAGAACAGATGATTCACATCGCAAAAATATTTAACAATATTACTGTTGTTTTTTTTTTCATTGTTATATTTTTAATCAAATAAAAACAGCCTTGGTGAGCAGAAGGGACTTCTTTTAAAACATTAAAAATCTTACCGATCAAAAACCTTTTACTGGTAGTGTAGTGTATTTGCATTAAAAACATTGATAAAACAATAAAACATTGATTCCACCCAGATTAGAATCGGTACCGTGTTGAAGGGAACGCAGGACCCATCAGCACAGGTGAACTCGGGACAGACGCGACTGGTGTTTCGCTCACTAGGGGGCGCTGTGGAGGGCCTGACTTTATCTGGAGGGAGAGAATAAAACACAGTTTAAATATAAAGATAACCATAACTATATTACGGTCCACACCTACGGACAATATCCTTCTCTTCTATTGTTATTATTATTATAAGCTCTGCAGGTTTGCCGTCTGCTATTAACCCTCTGGGGTTGTTCGGCCCAAATGGACCCGAAGAATTTAAATATATATTTAAAAAAAAAAGATTCCTCAGAATGGTCTGAAATTTGGTGACTTTGTTGGTATTTGGTATTTGAACACCCCAAAAAAATTGGGGACAGGATGTGAGTAGTCTAAGTGGTTGTAAAAAAGATGGGGTGTTCGGGTCTAAATGGACCCGCATGGAAAATGAATGGGAAATTGGCAAAAATGTGAAAATACTGAGTTTTTTTGTGCGTACAATCTACAAATCAGCCACGATCATGAAAAAAAGCACACAACAGTGAAGGGGTGAATCTATAAAACATCAAGAGTGCAAAACAGACACACACACACACAAAAACACACTTTTATACACAAACACACAAAAAAATTCAGATTATACATGCGTTTTGCGTTTTTAAAATGCTCAGTTTGTCCACCAGATGGCATCCATCTCATTTCAAAAATTGCTTTTATGAGGCCTAGGCTTGACTCTAAAATGAAATACAGCTTTAAAAAAAAAAAATTAAATATTTTTTCTATAATGTTCAATGAGAGGAAATTTTGTCATAATTATTGCATTAATACTAATTATAATTTTTTTTTATTTTTGAAATGTTCTCAAAACACCAAAAAAGAAAAGAAAAAATATTATAAAGAACGAGTAAAAAAAATGTTTTTTTTAAAAAATATGAATCCCACCCTTTGGGTCCATTTGGACCCGAACACCCCGAGTGTGACTCTGAAACGAACAACCCCAGAGGGTTAAAGGTGCAGTGAGCGATGTCTGAGAAACACTGTTGAAAGTGGATCAGGCCGAGCCTCGTTCATCTGGGTTTTGTTGTGCTATCGTGCATACAGCATAAATACTTCTATGAATTCAGTGTGAAGGGCAGATATTATGAGAAACCAACCGCAGAGTATCTCGTCCTCTCCTTTAGGGCAGTCGGGAACCCCGTTACACACACGTGAAACGTTCACACATGTGCGATTATCACACGAGAAACTGTCCAGACAGGGAGGAATCCGTAAGGAACCTGGTGAGAACGAGGAACACAGATGAACACAACACTAGAACAAACAAACCTGACTTGTGCATGTCAGTCTGGTGTACACATGCTCTCTGTAATTATACGGTAAGAAATGAGGCGTCGAACCCATTCGAACCCGAACCCGTCACTCGTAGCGTTTTTGAAGAGCGTATTTGAAGCCCAAAGTGGGCGGAGCCGGCCGTCGCCATCTTGGCTGCGTCACTCCCGGATAATTAGCTGAGGTGACGTGACGCTAACACACATCAGCGGAAATCCACCTGTCACTCAAGTGGCCACGCCCTTAATAATGCAGAACTTTAATGCTTAATATAATTTAAACGGATGAGTTATAAAAAAAATGCCCCCCCCACAGTCGTCATGAAGGGCAACATTAGCGATATAGACCAAAACCACTTTTAGCACCAGACTGTAAACATGTTTAATTCTGCTGTAAAGTTGGGCATTTTAACATGCGGGTCTATGGGAGTGAGTCTCTCTAGTGGCCAGTGGAGGAACTGCAGGTGAACTCACTCCACACGTGTGCTCTTACCGCAGTTGTCCAGGCTCTCGTCTGAGGCGTCCCTGCAGTGGGGCGTCCCGTCACACAGATGCTGGTGTTGGACACACTGGTCTCCGCTGTGGCAGAGGAACTGGTCCGGTTGACAGGTACGGGAACACGGTTTCTCATCGCTCCCGTCCAGGCAGTCGGTCTCTCCGTCACAGCGCCACGCGATCGGCACACACTGGCCACTCGTACACCCGAACTCAAACTGACTGCAACCTGGAACCACACATCATTATTCAGTGCGTATTACACGTATACCCTGAACTGCTTCGGATGAAATAAACATCCTGTTTTATAACCTTTCAATGTTATCGGTATCGGCCCGATAAGAAAATCTGCCTGATATATTTAAGCCGATAAATAATGGACCTTGGATAGTTTTGAACTGCTTGAAATTTTAATGCAAATGATGCCTTTATAATTGTGAGACTTTAGTTATTTTAATCAGGCTCTCAAAAATTATATAAAAATGTTAGATTTATCGGCCGATATATCGGTTATCGGCTGTCAAATATAACCGGTTATCGGTTATCGGCCAAAATGTTCATATCAGTGCATTCATACTTTCCTACCTTTGACTGGACAGATGAGCTCGTCGACGCCGGACGGACAGTCTCTGTGACCGTCACACACTCTCTCTGCGGACACACACTGATCTCCGGGACACTGGAGCTCTCCGAGCGCACACACACACTCTCTCTCGTCGCTGTAGTCTCCGCAGTCGTCGTGACCGTCGCAGCGGTGCAGATACAGAACACATCGGCCCGAGGAACAGAGGAACTCGTCCGGCCGGCACACGGCCCCACAGTCTGAACACACACACACACACACACACACAGCATCAGTCCACAACGTTTACCATGCTGTATTGACATGCAAACGATGACATGATTACCTTAAAGCCTGACATCTGAAACAATAATCCGATTTTTTTTAAATGGATCAGTTTATTGAATTCCCCGAAACATTAAGTTTGCAAATAAATTTAAGTTTGCATATCCCAAATTTTGTTTAAGTTTGCAAAAATGTTTAAGTTTTTTGCATATTTTTGTTTTATATCATATGCGATGCACTGTGGCAGCAGTTTTGATCATGTTGATCATTTAACCACGTCAGTATCAAACATGATACAGAATGTTTAATAGGAATTAAAGGGATTTTTTCTTACACACACGCATGGCTTCGCTGAAGCAGAAGCTCTTTATTAACCCACCAGAGCGCACTTGTGATGGAGCACTTGTGCGCTCTGCGCACTTTTATGATGGACAGATGCACTTTTATGATGGACAGATGCACTTTTATGATGGACAGATGCACTTTTATGATGGATAGATGCACTTTTATGATGGATAGATGCACTTTTATGATGGACAGATGCACTTTTATGATGGATAGATGCACTTTTATGATGGACATGATGGACAGATGCACTTTTATGATGGATAGATGCACTTTTATGATGGATAGATGCACTTTTATGATGGATAGATGCACTTTTATGATGGACATGATGGACAGATGCACTTTTATGATGGACAGATGCACTTTTATGATGGACAGATGCACTTTTATGATGGACAGATGCACTTTTATGATGGACAGATGCACTTTTATGATGGATAGATGCACTTTTATAATGGATAGATGCACTTTTATGATGATAGATGCACTTTTATGATGGACAGATGCACTTTTATCATGAATAGATGCACTTTTATGATGGATAGATGCACTTTTATGATGGACAGATGCACTTTTATGATGATAGATGCACTTTTATGATGGACAGATGCACTTTTATGATGGACAGATGCACTTTTATGATGGACAGATGCACTTTTATGATGGATAGATGCACTTTTATGATGGATAGATGCACTTTTATGATGATAGATGCACTTTTATGATGGACAGATGCACTTTTATGATGGATAGATGCACTTTTATGATGGACAGATGCACTTTTATGATGGATAGATGCACTTTTATGATGGATAGATGCACTTTTATAATGGATAGATGCACTTTTATGATGATAGATGCACTTTTATGATGGACAGATGCACTTTTATGATGGATAGATGCACTTTTATAATGGATAGATGCACTTTTATGATGATAGATGCACTTTTATGATGGACAGATGCACTTTTATCATGAATAGATGCACTTTTATGATGGATAGATGCACTTTTATGATGGACAGATGCACTTTTATGATGGATAGATGCACTTTTATGATGGACAGATGCACTTTTATCATGAATAGATGCACTTTTATGATGGATAGATGCACTTTTATGATGGACAGATGCACTTTTATGATGGACAGATGCACTTTTATGATGGACAGATGCACTTTTATGATGGACAGATGCACTTTTATAATGGATAGATGCACTTTTATGATGGATAGATGCACTTTTATGATGGACAGATGCACTTTTATGATGGATAGATGCACTTTTATAATGGATAGATGCACTTTTATGATGATAGATGCACTTTTATGATGGACAGATGCACTTTTATGATGGATAGATGCACTTTTATGATGGACAGATGCACTTTTATGATGGATAGATGCACTTTTATGATGGATAGATGCACTTTTATAATGGATAGATGCACTTTTATGATGATAGATGCACTTTTATGATGGACAGATGCACTTTTATCATGAATAGATGCACTTTTATGATGGATAGATGCACTTTTATGATGGACAGATGCACTTTTATGATGGACAGATGCACTTTTATGCAATTTTATGAACTTCAAAATATAAAGCTTGGAAGAGCCAGGACATATTTTAATATAACTCTGATTGTATTCGTCTGTAAGAAGAAAGTCATATACACCTAGGATGATTGAGGGACAGTAAATCATGGGCTAATTTTCATCTCTTTAACCCACCTAGACATACACAAACATACCGTACTCATCAGAATCATCAGCAAATCCACAATCCAGCCTCCCATCACAGACTTTCCTCACCGGCAGACAGCGCCCGTTAGCACACCTGAACTCTCCATCGGGACAGCCGGGTTCTGCCGTGTGCGGCTCACAGAAGTCCTCGTCTGATTGGTCAGCGCAGTCGGGATGCCCGTTACACCTGAGCTCCAGCGGTAAACAGGCTCCGGTGGAGCAGCGGAACCGACCCGGTGGACACGTGAACGGACAGACCTCATCAGAACCGTCTCCACAGTCGTCTTCGTTATCACAGAGCCAGACGGAGGGAATACAGCGCTGAGATCCAGCCGAGCAGCGAAACTCCGAGTCCTCGCAGGGAGACGGAGGAGGACACGGAGACCCAACGCAACGCCACGCGCCGTCAGAGCAAGAGCTGGAGAACACACACAACGCAGGAATGGTGATTTCTCTGGGAATCGAACACATGATTTTGAGTTTTGAATTTGATCTTTATTTGTCATTCTTATAAATAATAAATATACAATATACAATATAAGTACACAAAAATAAAACAAAAACATTTAAAATAAAAAATAAAGTGACAATATGATATTCAATGGCTAAAAAAGCATTAAATAAAGTTTTAAAAATAATTTGTTCTCATGTTTGTTTTTGGTGTGTAATATTTGAGAATTATTCATATGACTGTTTTTACATGTTTTTTTATTTATTTGTATTCCATGGTGTGATTTTTCCAGAATTGTATTGAAATAGGGTCAATTTGACCCGCAACATAAACATAAAACGTCCCCAGAATTGTAATATAATACAGTGAGTCTCTAAACTGACCAGTTCTGACAGTGTTGAGTGACAGCGGCTCCTGCCGGGAATAAAGACCCGTCCCACTCACACGGACACTGAGACGGAGGAATACACACCTCACCTGCCGATCACAGACACAGACTATAATCACACAAGGAACTACAGAGGGTTTGCATTGACGTCATGCGTGACTGGGTTTATAGAGGAAACTGAGAAAACGCGAGTAAAACACTGAAAACTAATGCTGCCACTCAGTGTGTGTAACCGCAACCGGCCGACGGTGACGTCACACTATTGCAAACTGAAGAATGCATGTATACACACATGATTAAAACTTGAGCACTGGGGATTTAGAGTGGAGGACCACCAGAGATGCTCAAACACATGTTTACAGAAGTGTAGTGGAATTTAAAAAACAGGTTTTTGTTACCGTGCCGAACGGTGCCGTGAGGACAGAAACATCCCTCCACACAGGAGAGGCTTCGGCACAGAGAATCAGAGAGGGAAGGAGTGCTGGGACACGCTGGAGAACAGGCGGGACCACAGGCCTCGTAAACCAGCCCGTTCTCACACTGCAGCGCTGCAGACACAACACAACAAACTATTACATACACCAATAATAACTCAATGAGCAGACTCATGTAGTCAGCCGGATCCGGGTATCAGGGTATTCATCATCAGAATCAGAAATAACGCAGAACACAGACAGAAATGACAGAAATCAAATGCCACACTTCCAACAATGCAAAAAACATCCACAATCCAAAATTATCATACACACGCGCGCACACACAAACACACACATATAGAGGAATACAATATACAGGAATAAATACAGACTATAAAAACTATCATTTGTAAAATAAAATACTCTAAAATGCAGAACCATCGCAAAAATAAATTGGTAACACTAAGACACATCGAAAATGTGCACACACACACACACACACACAGGAATACATTTGTAAGGCTATAAAAAAGCTAAAAGAGATGAGACCAACTATTGCTCTATTGTTCCAAACTATTTTTCCTAGTTGTTCGATTTTCTTCCCAATTTACAATTTACTTAAAAAATATTTTATTTTTACTGCTTTATTTGCTAATTTGTTATTGCTGTTCAGTTGAAATAAATGATCAAATCTTAAGACTCCAACATTTCTCTCTGTAACATGTTGTTCAGGTTTGATTCTAATCATAATGTAACATTATTGAAAAACTATTGTTTTTTCAGTACAAAAACAAATGCTAAACTTTGACAAAAAGTATTTTATTTTTGTTATAATTGTGATTTTATAATATTTAGATATGAATCCAACTTTAGAAACTATATCTTTCAGTAATTCAAATAGTATATAGGCCTAGTGGAGCTCTATAGCCATCTAGTGGTTAAAGTGACTTATTACAAATTTTAACCTGTATTTTCTAAAAAATGGGCAAAAATCTTACATTCAACCTTGTAAAATTATCCATGGTAGAAATCTGGGTCTTTTATAAAGTTCATTTAACATAAAATGCTGTTTTTTTTTGTAAAAATCCTATTTAAATAAATATTTATTTATTTATTTATAGAAAAAACTCCAAAAACTACACAAATGTTGAGTAAAAACATTAATAAACACAGTAAAATTGTACTTGTTAAAAAAAAAATGTATTCTGTTATTCTGACTTCTGACCTGTAAATGCTGCCTGAATCATAATCATAATCATAATCATACACTGTTTGTTCGGTGGCCAGAGGAGAACTGAGCGACTGCTTTGGTTCCACTCTGTCCTTCGCCTTTGGGTTTCTGCTTGCTTAGTTGGGGAAATTTAACATTTAATATTCAACAATATTATTTCATGTGCCTGCATTGACATCATATGAGAACTGAACTGAGCTGGACAATGACATCACTGTTTTCTCCAGGGCAGCTGTTTAGATGAACTAAATTAATACAAATTTGAAAAACAAAATTGAACCATCACTGAATTTACTTAAGCTGGACTACAGCGCTATTTTCTTCTAGAAAAACTTTATTGCATTATTTTTCTGTTACTGATTATTAGTTTCCTGCTGCTTTGAAACGATCCGTGTTGTAAAAATCTCGATATAATTAAAGGTGACGACTCACGGCAGAGTTCCTGTGACCTCCAGCGCACGTACACTCCTCTGCGGTTACACTCCTCCGCATACGCAGCCACAGCCGTACACAAACACTCGCAGTCGCCGCCAGAGTCACACCTGCACAACACACCAAACATCAGTACCAGTACAATCATACCATGAGGCGAACTTTAACTTTAAAACCTCCAGTTCCTCACCCGCAGGCGTCAAAGACACACCAGTCGTAGTACTGCTGGTACGCCACCTCTGAGTGACACGAGCCGAACATCTCCTGGCTGATCACCGCACACTTCTTCTTGGCCCACGTCACGCGGTGAGGGTTGATCTGAAAGGGCATTCACCATTTACAGGACACTCGAAAACACATCACTGCAATACATATGTGCTGTTGGATTTGTCATTGAATCATTCATCTCAGAGAGATTCGTTCAAAAAACCTGATTCATTTAGTAATGAAACAAGTGAAGTCTTTGAGTGAGTCATTGAATCATTCATTCGAGAGATTCGTTCGAAAAACCTGATTCATTTAGTAATGAAACAAGTGAAGTCTTTGAGTGAGTCATTGAATCATTCATTCGAGAGACTGGTTTAAAAAACCTGATTCGTCCAGTAATGAAACAAGTCTTTGAGTGAGTCATTGAATCATTCATTCGAGAGATTGGTTTAAAAAAAACCTGATTCGTCCAGTAATGAAACAAGTCTTTGAGTGAGTCATTGAATCATTCATTCGAGAGATTCGTTTAAAAAAACCTGATTCATTTAGTAATGAAACAAGTGAAGTCTTTGAGTGAGTCATTGAATCATTCATTCGAGAGATTTGTTCAAAAAAACGGATTCATCCAGTAATGAAACAAGTCTTTGAGTGAGTCATTGAATCATTCATTCGAGAGATTCGTTCAAAAAACCTGATTCATTTAGTAATGAAACAAGTGAAGTCTTTGAGTGAGTCATTGAATCATTCATTCGAGAGATTGGTTTAAAAAACCTGATTCGTCCAGTAATGAAACAAGTCTTTGAGTGAGTCATTGAATCATTAATTCGAGAGATTCCTTCAAAAAACCTGATTCGTCCAGTAATGAAACAAGTCTTTGAGTGAGTCATTGAATCATTAATTCGAGAGATTCCTTCAAAAAACCTGATTCGTCCAGTAATGAAACAAGTCTTTGAGTGAGTCATTGAATCATTCATTCGAGAGATTCGTTCAAAAAACCTGATTCGTCCAGTAATGAAACAAGTCTTTGGGTGAGTCATTGAATCATTAATTCGAGAGATTCGTTTTAAAAAATGCTGATTCATCCAGTAATGAAACAAGTCTTTGAGTGAGTCATTGAATCATTAATTCGAGAGATTCCTTCAAAAAACCTGATTCGTCCAGTAATGAAACAAGTCTTTGGGTGAGTCATTGAATCATTAATTCGAGAGATTCGTTTTAAAAATGCTGATTCATCCAGTAATGAAACAAGTCTTTGAGTGAGTCATTGAATCATTAATTCGAGAGATTCCTTCAAAAAACCTGATTCGTCCAGTAATGAAACAAGTCTTTGAGTGAGTCATTGAATCATTAATTCGAGAGATTCGTTTGAAAAATGCTGATTCGTCCAGTAATGAAACAAGTCTTTGAGTGAGTCATTGAATCATTAATTTAAGAGATTCGTTCAAAAAACTGATTCATCCAGTAATGAAACAAGTCTTTGAGTGACTCATTGAATCATTAATTTAAGAGATTCGTTCAAAAAACCTGATTCATCCAGTAATGAAACAAGTCTTTGAGTGAGTCATTGAATCATTAATTCGAGAGATTCGTTTTAAAAACGCTGATTCGTCCAGTATTGAAACAATTCTTTGGGTGAGTCATTGAATCATTAATTTAAGATATTCGTTTTAAAAATGCTGATTCATCCAGTATTGAAACAAGTCTTTGAGTGAGTCATTGATATTCGTTTTAAAAATGCTGATTCGTCCAGTGATGAAATAAGAGAAGTCTTTGAGTGAGTCATTGAATCATTCATTCAAATAGACTGCAGCAATCATGTTATTTTGTTTAGTTGTCTGTTCAGAATCATGGAAGAATCAAGATCTGTTTAAAAACAAGAAAATTGCGATTCTCAATTCATTTAATGAATCGTGTAGCTCTACTGCATGACATTAAATGTTTTGTATAAAGCACTTTGTAAACATTGTGCTACATAAATGAAATTATACTTACTTACTGACTCGGGAATTACAAAAATTAGCTTTTATGCCTAAACTTAAGGTGAACTTTCGATCTTCCGTAATTTGAGAGTACTCACAGCGCAGGGGTCGCGGAGATCCTGGTCCGGGACATCAGGACACGAAGGGCTGATCTTCCAGGAGTTTCCGAACAGTTCCGGGGTCGACTCCATGATGCCTTGTCTTGTAGTGAAGTCGTTCTCCGCGTCTCCGTCGAAATTCCCACACAATCCTCCAACCCGGCCGCGCAAATGAGGAGTTATCCGCACGTAAACACGCATGCCTGCGCAGACACACAGATGCAGAGCCACACACTCATAGTTATACACACATAAACATGCACACACTCATAGCTTTATCACAAAAGCAAGATCAATGAAAAACAAATGATCGCAGACGAACCTCCGTCCCAGAGCAGAGAGACTCCGAGCCGAGACGAGAGGGACACGAACAGCCCGACCCGCTCCAGGATCAGCCCGCTGCCCGAATACACCTTCGGGAGAGTCACGGGAATCCCGTTCACCGTCACGGATTTCCCTGAGAGAACCGGACAGAAACATCTAAATATCACTCTCAGGAATCTGAATCGCCTCTTTACATCAATGTAGAGCAAAAACAAATCAACATGCAGATGTTAATAAAACACTTTTTACGAAAAAGATTCTTTTTAATAAATCTAGTCTATAAAAATAAAGTATTACATATACAGTATATATATATATATATATATATATATATATGAAGAGTTCAGATGCAAAAGCCTCTAAATGCCATTTGAAATTTTCTTCTAAAATGATCATTTTTATCAAGCTTGTATATTTAAGTTCAGTAATTTCACTTAAATGGCAATTAATAGGTAATCCTCATTGCCATTTAAGTGAAATTACTGAACTTAAATATACAAGCTTGATAAAAATGATCATTTTAGAAGAAAATTTCAAATGGCACTTAGAGGCTTTTGCATCTGAACTCTTCATATATATATATATAGTGATGTGAATAAGTTTGGACACCCATGCTAAAGTTGCCTAAAAAGAGGAATAAAAAATCATCTTTTGGATATTGATCTTAATGCCTTAATTAAAAAAATGAGGAAAACTCCAACCTTTAAGGACACCAATTTTCTTTGTGAATGAATAATGTATCATAAATAAATAAATGTTTTTCCTTAAAATACAGGGTGCATAAGTCAGGACACCCCTATGTTAAATTCCCATAGAGTCAGGCAGATTTTTACTTTTAAAAGCCAGTTATTTCATGGATCCAGGATAATATGCATCCTGATAAAGTTCGCTTGGCCTTTGGGATTAAAATATCCCACATCATCACACACAATGCAAATCAAACCAGCTATTAGGCTAACTGAAGTAAAACCATGCCAATCTCTAGGTGTGGTGAATGGTGTGTGATGATGTGGGGATATTTTAATCCCAAAGGCCAAAGGAACTTTATCAGGATGCATATTATCCTGGATCCATGAAATAACTGGCTTTTAAAAATAAAAATCTGCCTGACTCTATGGGAATTAAACATAGGGGTGTCCTGACTTATGCACCCTGTATTTTAAGGAAAAACATTTATTTATTTATGATACATTATTCATTCACAAAGAAAATTGGTGTCCTTAAAAGGTTTGATTTTTCCTAATTATTTTTAATTAAGGCATTAAGATCAATATCCAAAAGATGATTTTTTATTCCTCTTTTTAGGCAACTTTAGCATGGGGGCCAAAACCTATTCATATCACTGTATACATATATATATATATATATATCATATTATAGATATAACTCTAGTGTGTGTGTGTGTGTGTGTGTGTGTGACCTCTCAGCAGATGTATGGCGGTGTTCCCGACGGTGAGCGTGACAGATTTGGTGCAGGTGACCCCTGTGCTCCCGCACGGCACATTCTCTGCGCTCACACTGAACAGCCCGCTGGACTCCTGCGCCAGCACGTACTCGCAGTCGCCCAGGAACGAGAAGTGCCGCCCGTCAAACGTGATGTAGTGAGGGTCGCCCGTGGCCACGCAGGTTCCCGAGCAAAACGCCTGACCGCAGTGCCAGCGCTGCTCGCCACACACACTGTCGGCACACAACAGGTTCAGGTCAGCGCTCGAGTCAGATATTGTACATATACAAAATCACAGTTAGTGAAAAAGGGATTCATTTAAACAATGTAATAATTGAATGCAGCACTCAATGAAGTAATGAAGACTTAATTTGTTGAACATGAAAAATCAGTATATCCCAGAGAAACGGCTTCTCGAACAAGAACAAAAGTAGGGCGGCGCTATCGTCATCCAGATTTGATTGGCTCGATGTGTTGTGGATTGGGCTTTACATCATAAGAACTTTCAGTCACTAAAGCTTTCGTTACAGACTCAGATGAGTTGTTTCTGCTCACCATGTGTTGCAGTCTTTAGAAATGGTGTCATTGGTGAAATAAAGTCTGCCGTTGTGATGACATGGACACTCGTCTGGCTTCACACACTGATCACCCTGAAGACAGAAAACAAAAAGATGAATCCACCCATAAAGGTTATAATGATTTAGAATGAGAACCAATGTGACTATCTCAGTCTGTTGTGCTAATTCAGCTAATTTAATTATGTTTTCTGGCTTTATTTTAATGTCAGGTAATATATTTAATATACACACAAAAGAAAATAAATGCATTTGAAAAAAAAAAAAAATCCTTCCCTCGCTAGTCAATTTGACCCCCATAGGAATGAATGGAATCAAGAAATGCTCAAAACGTTAAATAAAAATGCTAAAACTTATTTTATAACATCTACATGTGTATCTGAATGCATACTGAAGAAAAACTGGCTTTAGGACCCAGCGGAACAGCTCATTTACTCCATTTAGAGATATAAGCCCATCTAGAGTCATGAAATATCATCTTATATTAATATTTACACAAGAGGATTGGCAAAGACACACAGTGTAAGATATTTAGAGCTGAATTAAAAGGGTTAAGCTTGAAATTGTGAGTAATTTTGAATTGAAGTTGAAAGAATGTGCTTCTAAATTACTATTTATTTATTGTTTATTGATTAAATCTAGTAATTAAAAAGGTGAATAAAATAGAAAATAACAAGTAAATATTAAAAAAAAAAAAATTACAAAATCCAAATAAATTGCATTAAAAAGTAGAAAAATTATTATCAATATGAAATAAAATAAGCTTTCTGAAAAAATTTTAGGGCTTCGTTGGATGTCATTCAACATTTTTAAAATGTTTCAATGTTTCTACAATGTAACATTCCAACAACGTTTCAAAATGGAATGTTTGCGTAACCAAGGAAACGCATTTAAAAAACTGTCCGTTTTGAACATTCCGAGAACATTATGTTTTGGAAACATTGATTCTAGAAGACATTTCTGTTGGCTAATGTGAAGCCGTATGACGGTGTGTTTAGAAGGCGCTGTAGACACACACCAGCAGCACCGTCCCGTCCGGACACACACAGCCGTGGATGGGCTCAGCACAGGCGTCCAGAGGAGAGATGGGACTGGAGCACGTCCTCAGACACGACCGAGGAGAGAAGACCAGAGATCCTGGACACTGATGGACCTCCGGACACGAGAGATCTGTGCAGTTCCACACGCCACGCGCACACACACTGCAAACACAGGCGGAGACTGAAAATAATCAGTTCAAGTTCTACTAAACTGCTGGCATACGTGTGTTTGACCAGACGTGTGATTTGAGGAATGATTCATGAGTGGAGCACAAAAGAAGGTTTTATTGCGTGTTGTTGAAGGTTTGAACACATCACTAACAGTCTGAGCACTAAACGTGATGCTTATCAAAAACTGTAGGGAAGGCCAGAGGAAATGCATGTTTTCTTCTCTTTCATTCTATCTGCTTTACAACACAGCCATCATAAATCTCTTTCTTTTATTATATGTGCACTTGTGCAGTCAGGAGGTCGGACAGAGGACGCTCTCTCGGGGAAGAAGAGGAGACGAGAAAGGTCAACATGTAACGAGTGTTTGACAGTTAAACACACACTCTGAGAACTGAGAAACATGTCAGTTCATAACATATCAACCTCACAGAACACCCTAGCAACCTCACAGAACACCCTAGCAACCTCGCATATCCATAGTCATAGTTAATATTATTAGGAATTTTAAGACATTTTAATATATTTAGTTATGTGTATGCATGTTTTTTAGTATTATTATTATTTTATTTTTTTTTATTTATATTGTATGTGTGATAGATGTGGAAATCTGTTGTCTAAGCTACTGGATGCCTTAAATTTCCCTATCAATCATCATCATCATCATCATCATCATCATCAGAACACCCTAGCAACCTCACAGAACAGAATAACAGATCATATTGTCATCAGAAAAAGGAAATCTAGGTAATTAATGCAATTACTTAATTTTCAATATCAGATCATAGAAACATGTAAATGTTTGATTTAAGACATATTTGATAAATAAACATAGGAATATAAACTAGATGTTTATTGCCCTTCACATTCGTTTCTGTTAGTCAGTGATTTCTCTGTAGTCCACATACATTAGTTTGAGTACAAAGGTGATTTTATGATGTGTTATCAGAGTGCATGTGATAAAAATCAGCCCCAAAACCATAAAGAACCATAAAACAGAGATGAAGCTTTTCATAACACCACCATAAAAACCCTTGATGGGGACAACGGGCAGAAAGACCCATTCTGTGCATAAAGAAAAACACCCAGCATAACCTAGATAATATCACTACCATGAGGAATAAATACTGACCTTTAACCCCTTCACTACCCTGACCTTTAACCCCTTCACTACCCTGACCTTTAGCCCCTTCGCCACCCTGACCTTTAGCCCCTTCGCCAACCTGACCTTTAACCCCTTTGCCACCCTGACCTTTAACCCCTTTGCCACCCTGACCTTTAATCCCTTTGCCACCCTGAGCTATAACCCTTCACCACCCTGACCTTTAACCCTTTCACCACCCTGCCGTTTAACCCCTTCACTACCCTGAATTTTATCCCCTTCACCACCCTGACCTTTAACCCCTTCACCACCCTGATCTTTATCCCCTTTGCCACCCTGAGCTATAACCCTTCACCACCCTGACCTTTAACCTTTTCACCACCCTGACCTTTAACCCCTTCACAACCTTGAGTTTTATCCCCTTCACCACCCTGACCGTTAACCCTTTCACCACCCTGACCTTTAACCCCTTCACCACCCTGACGTTTAACCCCTTCACTACCCTGACCTTTAACCCCTTCACCACCCTGACGTTTAACCCCTTCACTACCCTGACCTTTAACCCCTTCAACACCCTGACGTTTAACCCCTTCACCACCCTGACCTTTAACCCCTTCACTACCCTGACGTTTAACCCCTTCACCACCCTGACCTTTAACCCCTTCACTACCTTGAGTTTTATCCCTTCACCACCCTGACCGTTAACCCTTTCACCACCCTGACCTTTAACCCTTTACCACCCTGACGTTTAACCCCTTCACTACCCTGACCTTTAACCCCTTCACTACCCTGATCGTTAACCCTTTCACCACCCTGACCTTTAACCCCATTCACCACCCTGACCTTTAACCCCTTCACCACCCTGACCTTTAACCCCTTCACCACCCTGACGTTTAACCCCTTCACTACCCTGACCTTTAACCCCTTCACCACCCTGACCTTTAACCCCTTCACCACCCTGACCTTTAACCCCTTCACAACCTTGAGTTTTATCCCCTTCACCACCCTGACCATTAACCCTTTCACCACCCTGACCTTTAACCCCTTCACCACCCTGACGTTTAACCCCTTCACTACCCTGACCTTTAACCCCTTCACCACCCTGACGTTTAACCCCTTCACTACCCTGACCTTTAACCCCTTCAACACCCTGACGTTTAACCCCTTCACCACCCTGACCTTTAACCCCTTCACTACCCTGACGTTTAACCCCTTCACCACCCTGACCTTTAACCCCTTCACTACCTTGAGTTTTATCCCCTTCACCACCCTGACCGTTAACCCTTTCACCACCCTGACCTTTAACCCCTTTACCACCCTGACGTTTAACCCCTTCACTACCCTGACCTTTAACCCCTTCACTACCCTGATCGTTAACCCTTTCACCACCCTGACCTTTAACCCCTTCACCACCCTGACCTTTAACCCCTTCACCACCCTGACCTTTAACCCCTTCACCACCCTGACGTTTAACCCCTTCACTACCCTGACCTTTAACCCCTTCACCACCCTGACCTTTAACCCCTTCACCACCCTGACGTTTAACCCCTTCACTACCCTGATCGTTAACCCTTTCACCACCCTGACCTTTAACCCCTTCACCACTCTGACGTTTAACCTCTTCACTACCCTGACCTTTAACCCCTTCACCACCCTGACCTTTAACCCCTTCACCACCCTGACGTTTAACCCCTTCACTACTCTGACCTTTAACCCCTTCACCACCCTGACCTTTAACCCCTTCACCACCCTGACCTTTAACCCCTTCACTACTCTGACCTTTAACCCCTTCACCACCCTGACCTTTAACCCCTTCACCACCCTGATGTTTAACCCCTTCACTACCCTGATCGTTAACCCTTTCACCAGCCTGACCTTTAACCCCTTCACATTGCCCGTCAGGAGTGAGAATCTGTGGCTGTGTTTTTCCTACCAGGTGTTGCAGTTGTTCTGTCTGGTGCTCCCCGCGGGATAGATCTGGCCTCCGTGTGTGCAGGGACACATGTGGACGGGCACACACTGACCCTGAGTGTCCTGTGCCAGTCCGGCGGGACACTGACACCCCGGCACACAGTTCCCTCGGCCCTCGTCGCCCTCGCAGCTCCAGCCGCTCCACAGATCGGCACAGGACGACCCGCACGGACGCCCGCACTCCTGATACACCTGTCCTCCAGAGCACCGCACCGCTGCAGCAGAGGAAAACACACTTCAATATTTAACAAATAATCACAATAAGATTCAATAATATTGCAAATATCAAATCGCATCCAAAATAAAAGATAATTTTTACATGATACATACGTGTGTACTGTGTATAATTATTTTGTATATGTAAATACACACATGCATGTATATATTAAAGTGTTATTAATGTATAAAATATATTTATATATGGGATAAATTATGTATAAATATACATGCAAATGTTTCTTAAATATATACATGCATATTTAGTGTATTTATATATACAAAATCATTAAGCAAATAATCACGATTAATTGTCGCCCAGCACTAATAATCTTCACATTAAAGCGTTTCTTACAGCAGAATGTGCGATTCCTCCAGCTGAGCGGCGCCCCCTCCTGGGCACACTGGCGGGTGTAAGCGGCGAGGACGGTGCATTGGCACGACTTCAGCGGGTCGCAGCCGCACACTTCACTGAGACACACACGCATGTACGGCTCTCGGTCCACCACGTCATGACACGCCTGCAAGACACACACCTTTCCCATCAGCACCTGACCAGTTAATACAAGCACTTACCTTTTCTGTTCGCTTCTGTACTATTCTATTTGTTGTGGGGTTTTTTCTGCTAAACCAAAAAAGAAAAACCTTGATTTGTTGTTCACTGTGCTCGACTAACTGGACTTGCAGATAGTGGCCCTCTAGCTACTGTTCTGGATAAAGTAGGAAATGTAAATGAAGCCCAAAGCACACTGACCTGAAACACTGAGCTGTGAATCACAGAGCACACACTCTCTGCGTACTGTCTCCGCTGGGTGTACATCCCGCAGGGGTCAGAGGTCATCGCTAAGGGCAAAGGGCAGGAGCCCGTTCTGAATTTGGCGGCAAACGAGGACACGCTGTTCTCGACGTCCCCCTCGGGTGTGGTGAAATCATCATGCTGACTCCAGGTCAGAGTGCCACACAATCCTCGAACCTGACGTCACAACAAACGGTCACATGACCAACCTGTTAGTTGAGTTCGCTTCAGCAAACAAATTTTATTGTTAAGGGCCGTTCACACCAAGAACGATAACTACGTCCACATTAAGAACGATAACTATAACGATAACAATATTTGCTGTCCCCAGAGTGTGTATGTGAAGCTTTAGCTCAAAATACCCCACAGATCATTTTTTAAACAGTCCCTCCAGAAAAACGCGATTATGCGATTGCTGAATTCAATGCAAAATCAGCCAAAGTCCGCATATTTATGCGGGGGCCGCATTTTTTCAAATACGCCGCAGTTTCGCCGCATAAATTGCCGATTTCCATGCAAAATATGCGGGGTTTGCATAATTTCATAATCCTCGCATTTTCGTTGCAAAACAGTCAGATGTATCTTTGCAGAAAGTTGAAAAATGTTGCGTTTGCTTCACATAAGAGCAGCCATTTCCCCCTGTTTCCATGGGAACGTTATGAAGTGACCCAATTACGCGACGCCAGACAGACTCACGGAGGCGATTGACATCTCACAAATCGAACTCGTATTCTGTCTGTCGCACGTTCTACCGTCACATCGTTACACTCGTTACAGTCTGAAATAAAACAAGATGAGAAATTAAATATTCCCAGCGCTTTCTATGATGTAGTATGCTTGCTTATCAAAGGAAGTAATAAGAAATGACTCTTACATTAACAGGATGTTGGGGGAATCACTTTTTTTCTCTTTTTGATCGAACCGCAATTTTTGCAAGTTCCCTCAATTTTTGCAATTTCATCGCATAAAATTGCATAAATATCCCGCATATTCCATCGCATTTTTAAAGAAAACGGGCCGCATAATCAATCAATTTCTGCCCACAACAATCACAAAAAAAACTCCACGTTTTTCTGGAAGGACTGAATACTAGTATGGTAAATGTTAAATATAAATCGCAAATTTTTGGAAATTACCACCACAAAATCAGTCAATTTGATCGCAAAAATCACAAAACAAAATCGTGAAATCCTGGAGGGACTGTTTATAGCATGTTAAAATCGTAATTTTTTGAGGGTGAGCAAAAATGCGTTGTTTTGTGTGTGGGCTCTTTAAATGCAAATGAGCTTCTGCTCCCGGCACAGGGGGCGGAGCTACAACAGCTCATTCTTAGCAGAGACATATAGAGCCCTAGTTGCGAGGCGGTTTTATGTAAATGTTGGGGATTGTGATGTCACTAACCAGGGGAGGAAGCTCGTGTAGTCCATATCAGTCGTTTGTTGTAGTTCTTAAAAAGTGATTTCTGTCAAATAAAATATCTCCCTTTGCTTTGAACTTTGCAGATGTTGTGTATGCTCAAACAGCAACATTACACACTAACTAAAGTTAGAAAAGTGAAATCACAATACTGAGAACGATTTTTAGAACTATATCTTTATCGGGCCTTTAGAATCCGTATTCTATTATCAGAATCTTTAAATGAATAAAGACTGGAGAGATGTGTGTGTTATTGTGGTACCTTATGAGCGAAGCCGGGCTGTAGGGTGATGAGGAGAAGAGGCCCGTCCAGATGCCACATCAGTCGAGCCCCGAACGCCTGGATCAGCAGAACACTGGAGGAAGACTTTCGGACCATCAGATCTCCTGTGACCACCGGCAGAAGCTCTCGCTGACCGTTCACCAGCACTGAGCCTGACATCACACATTTACAGTCCTCTTATCGAGTTTTGTTATGTTGTTTTATGTTCTTGTGGCAATATCTGACTGTTTTATATTGAATGGTAAAGCTTTGTGGAAGATAAGATACAATTACATAAGATCTGGATAAGATAAGAATGAATGAATGAATGCACTAGATAAACTAAACAGACAAAATCATCTAGACAAAATAATAAATCAAAATCATTTAAATTAAACTAACTTTGGATGAATCAAGAATGGATGGGTAGATGGACGGATGGACGGATGGATGGGTGGATGGAGAAACTGATGGATGGATGGATGGATGGCTGGTCAGACAGACGGATTAATGGATGGACAAACTGATGGATGGATGGACGAGGGTTTGATGGATGGTCGGACAGATGGATGGAGAAACTGATGGATGGATGGTTGGACAGATGGATGGACGAACGGTTGGATGGATGGTCAGACAGATGGATGGATGGCTGGCTGGTCAGACGGATGGATGGAGAAACTGATGGATGGATGGATGGACGTACGCACGGACGGATGGACAGATGGGTGGAGAGTTGGATGGATGGACGAACGGTTGGATGGATGGTCAGACAGATGGATGGATGGCTGGCTGGTCAGATGGATGGATGGAGAAACTGATGGATGGATGGATGGATGGATGGATGGATAGATGGATGGATGGAGTGATGGCTGATCAAACAGACGGATAAATGGATGGATGGATGGACGTACTCACGGACGGATGGATGGATGGGTGGAGAGTTGGATGGATGGACGAACGGATGGATGGATGGTCAGACAGGTGGATGGATGGCTGGCTGGTCGGATGGAGAAACTGATGGATGGATGGATGGATGGATGGAGTGATGGCTGGTCAGACAGACGGATAAATGGATGGATGGATGGACGTACGCACGGACGGATGGATGGATGGATGGATGTACGGACGGATGGATGGAGAGCTGGATCGATGGGTGGAGAGCTGGATAGATGGATGGATGGACGAACGGATGGATGGATGGACGGAGGGTTGGATGGTTGGATGGATGGAAAAATGGAGAGACAGCAGGATGAATGGGCGGATGGACAGATAGAGAGAGAGATGTATGACCTGAGTCAGTGACAGTGAGTGTAGTCTTCAGCGCAGTGACTCTCAGCTCTCTCAGACACCCAGCAGATCCTCCTGAACACTGTCCTGCGCTGATGCCCACGCTCAACTTCCGGTCCACGAAATCCTGCAAACACACACACAGATGATCTCAAATCACTCCACACACACACACACACACACACACACACAGGTGTGCTCCTCAGTGACTGACCTCGACGGCTGTGAACTGGCAGTCTGCGCTCTGAAGGCTGAATCTCTTCTGGTCGAATGTTGTGACGTGCATCGCTCCGATCACAGTGCACTGAGCTTCACATCTCTCTCCAGAACACTCCCACTGACCGGCTCCACACACACTACAACACACACACACACACCAGTGAGAATCAAGCGGAGACCCTCCGGTGTCTGAGACTTAAACTGCAGTTCCTCCACTGGCCACTAGAGGCGCTGCAGAAGAGACTCACACCAATCATTGGTTATTAACTTAGCCTGCTGTGTTAACAGCGACTTGTTCAGGCCGTTCATTCGCACAACAACAGTGTTTAGAGGTTTGAGGACGCAAACTCTGAAACAGGCTCCAATTGGTGCAAGTTTAGATTTGAAAGGGTTATTATCATCTCATCTAATCTCCCGTGATTGTAATATCGGGCAGAGTGTGTGCCGTGGGACCCACCATGTGTTGCACCTCTGTGTGATGGCGTCTCCTGCGCTGTATGTGCGGCGCCGGTGGAAACAGGGACAGTCGGCCCGCCGCACACACTGACCCGCGTGCAGGACCAGCCCCGGGGGACACTCACACCCCCCCACACACTCGTCCCGACACTGACCCGACGCCGCGGGACCGGGAGACGAGCAGCTCGCAGGACAGGACGACACGCAGTCCGAGAACACCTGACCGCGCGGACACACACGCTCTGCACACACAAACAACAGCAGCGGGTTAGTGTGTTTTTACCTTTGCAGATAACAGGCATTATCATCGTTAAACACAATACATGCATGCACAGAAAGAGAGAAATAGACATATATAAATAGAAATTAAAATATATATATATATATATATATATATATATAAATTATAAAAATATATAAATATATAAAAAATACATTATTATATACATTACGTTAAAATAAACATTTTGATATATAATTTATTTAGAGACAGGTTTATTATTTTCAATCATTTATTTATTTTTCTAATTTATTTTAATGTAACTTGTATTTATTTATTTATTTGTTTCAATCTATGTATTTATTTTAAATAAATAAATATGGTGAATTATTTTTAATTTATTTATTTTAAACTTTTTTTCATGTAATATAATTTAATTTAAATGTTATTTATTTATTTTAATGTAATTTTGATGTATACATTTTTAATCATTTATTTATTTTAATCTAATTTCATTTTTATTTATTCGAGAGAGATATCGCTGTATTTCTCTTGTTCACCTATTTTTATCTATGTATTTTTTTATTTTTAACTATGTTTTATCCATGTATCCATAATACATGCATCTGAAATACATAAAAACTAAATTACAAAAATAATAACATTAAACTGCAAACAATTTTTTCAAACGATTTTTTTCAAGGATTTCAAAGTATTTTTTTAATGCAAAAAACTTGGTTCAACTTTAAGGAATTAATATATATATATATATATACAGTATATATATATATACATACATATGTACATATATACATATATATATACAAATATACATACATTTATATACATACTGTATATATATATATATATATATTTATATATATAAACTATATTGTAATGTTATCTATGAGATTTTTTTCTGGCCACCAGAGGTCAGTTTAGGAGGAATTAGATCTTGTGACTGTTACCACAGAAGCCGGCGTTTCTCCAGCGGATGATGACGTGTTGCGTCGCACACTCGCGCACGTAGCCGGCTAGCGTATCGCACACCGCCGTCTCTCTCTCGCTCGCCTCCAGACTGCAGAACAGATACAGACACGTGTCGATGTACGGCCCGGGGTCCACCTGAGCGAGGCCAGATGTTAGTCAGGAGCAGTGTTGTGTGGGACTCATTACATGTAATCAGAGTACTTTTTCAAGTTACTAGTAAAGTAATGCATTACTTTTCAAAGTAGCTTTCCCCGACATTGGTCCTAGTGTAAGTTTCCTGTAACCTTGAGGAGATTTCCCCATTCTATGTAAAGCGCTTTGAGTCCCCAGAAAAGTATAATATAAATGTAACTAATTATTATTATTATTATTCTATTATCATTATAATCTGACCTGGTGATGGCAGTGTGAGAAGGGGTTTTCCTTCAGACGATGACATGCTGTTTCTGCGTCACGGCGAAGAGTAACGTCACTCGAGAGATCACAGCTGTGGCCCAACTCAGCAGCATCACTACACACCTGTGTTACACAACATGACATGACAACACAACAGCATCACTACACACCTGTGTTACACAACATGACATGACAACACAACAGCATCACTACACACCTGTGTTACACAACATGACATGACAACACAACAGCATCACTACACACCTGTGTTACACAACATGACATGACAACACAACAGCATCACTACACACCTGTGTTACACAACATGACATGACAACACAACAGCATCACTACACACCTGTGTTACACAACACACAACACAACACACTACACACCTGTGTTACACAACATGACATGACAACACAACAGCATCACTACACACCTGTGTTACACAACACCACAACAAAACACAACACACCTGTTACACAACACCACAACACAACTCAGCAGCATCTCTACACACCTGTGTTACATGTTAAGATCAATCAATCGTTTCTAAATACTTAAAGACGTGGTGTCCCACCTGGCCTTGCTGATCTTGTACACGCCAGGAGTTTCCAAAACTGGCGGCGTACTGAGACACACTTCCACCGCTGGTAGTGAAGTCATCTGTATAAAATTAAAATGTTGCATTGCACAATGCATGAAAAACATGCAATTTGTTTTCAAAATGGTAAATAGAACAACAATAATTTAAGCCATTTTTTACATTGAAACACTATTGAATTCTTTTTACTTCAATTAACTCAATGTTACACAATTTCTGTATGAAAATAGTTTCCTTTCAGTGTAGAAATGCATGAAAACACACACTAAAAATTAAGTAGAAAGGACATAATATGTCAGAATTTGGTAACTTCATATATCCGATCAAACGTTCTCAGTTCTCACCATCTGGGTTGTTGTTGTAAACTCCGCAAAGCCCCCTAGTGGCCGTGAGGTGTTCTGCGGTAACGGTCAGGTAGACGGTGTTCTCCATGTCGAACTTCAGTCTGACGCCCAAACCGCTCTCCACAAACACAAAGTCCCCCAGCCAGTGAACGCTGACTCCTGACGACACACACACGTCACCAGAAACACACTTCAATATATTTCATACTCAGAAAACAGGAAGTCACACCCCAAACCGAGTAATCATCGTTTACTAAGATAGATTAAAACTTTATTTATCCCCAAGGGGAAATTTAGAAGTTACAGCAGCATAAACAGGACAAAAACAAATATAACACTTAAGAAGTGAAAAATACAACAAAAAAAAACACTACATTTTGCAATTATGTATTCCGCAGATAAATTATATAGATAACAGATATATCATTAAATATAAATAAATAAATATCCTAAATATAAGTATGGGTAAAAATCCATTAACCATTAAAAACTTTTTAACAACTAAAAATGCACTTTTCAAGTAAAATTGACTTCTATTTAAACTAAAAATATAGGTGAAAAAAGCACATGCCACTGGTAAGGATGAGTTTTTCAGCTGCAATACAGAACATAATAGAGTATCAGGATTCAGGAATTAAGCGTCTCTCACCGCTTTGGAAGAGCGGTTTACCCTGCGGTAGAGACACGCCGTTCACTGTCATGTTTCCTTTGTGAACAGAGACCAAGCCGAGACCCAACATCATCCGCAGGCCCTACAGCACAGAACAAACCACATAAACTACAGCCAAGACCTGTCAATCAACAATCATTATCAATATAATAACATCCCAAACTCCCAAAACCAATTACACTTTCTGTATCATTGAGGTTCAAGATTTCTCATGCAATGACCAACAGAAACCAGCTGTAGAAACAAACGTCACATCTCAACAAGACAAATTATGTTCAGTTCATCGGCCTGTTCATAATGACCTCGAACAACTTGAAACCAGATGCAAAAGATGAGTGTTGTGTTCTGTTTTCTTGAATTGGCCGATCTTTGAGTCACAAACGAAGACCCAAAGCAAGATTCCTGGTGCTAATCGTACAGCCTAAAACACTTTAAACTAAAACTCTGCTACAATTTCAACATTTTGAAGGTCTCAAGTGAACATGAAATGGCTTTTGCAACCAATTTTACCTTTGAATAAGATATATTTTACAGTAAAACTATATATTCAACAATCAATAAAATGTTAGGACTTGATTTTATGCATGACGAATGAATTTACTAGGGACTCTTTATTTTATAAAAGTATTTTTAATGCATTACTAATGCCTTGTGATGCACCTTATAATGCTTTATAGTACTTATCTATTCATTGTTGCACCTTTAGAAAGTATAATTGCCAGGTTATACAAACACATTTATGGATGTAACAATGAATCTGCAAATATTATAATGCATTTTAACTTTGTTTACAATTATTTACTTGCATTAAAAAGCATTATATGATATAATGCAGAAAAAATATAATGCATTATTCATTATAATTAATGAATTTAGCTTTAAGTAATGCTACCGAGAGGCCTTTGGGAAAATTTTGAATTCATACCATAAAATGATACTTTGCAACAATATGAGCATATGAACATGAAATTGCAACCAATTTTAGAGTAAAACTGGATTTATTAAACAAGAAACATAATGAAGGACTTGATTTTATCCTCGAGTCTTTAGTCTTTAGGAAAAGTAGCACATTTTGATGAAACATTATGAATATTTTTTTAAGGTAAAATATGTTTATAACATCAACCGATAAATGATGCACTAAAAGAGCAGGAAGAAGAGTTAAATTAAAGTTAAGAACGCATTCAACGTTGTTTTCTGTTTTAGTGTTAACTAAGTTAATAACTAATGATCTGTGAACTTCTGGACTTTATTGTAGAGTCTCTGTTACTGTAATCTCCTGTTCTCACTGTAAAGCTGCTCTTATTAAAAGCGCTGTATAAATGAAGATGACTTGACTTCAGCATTTTGAGATCATGTTGACGTCTAAACAGGCGTTTGTGGGAATATAAACTCTCAGCGAGTGTGTGTTTGTACCTTGCGACAGTGTCCCGCGGTGTCACACACTGAGCTGGAGTAAACGGCCCAGGTCCCGTCGGTGGACGAGGCCAACAGGTACGTGCAACTGCCCTGGAAGTGGAAGTGTTTCCGGTCAAAGGTACGGTAGTGTGTCCCGCCCCAGCTCATACAGGTGCCGGACGCCTGCGGGTCACGGACGCCACGGATGACCGGAGAAGACCTGACGTCTGAGGGGAGACACAGACACACACTCAAATACATTCATTTTCATCTCTTGTCTGAAACGCTTCTGTGTAGATTCAGTCTCTAAGCTCCGCCTCTCTGAGCGCTGCTCTGCTGTGATTGGTCAGAAACACTGTAACGTCCTCATAATCTCCACTGCAGCTTCAGCTCTTTCCTCTCAGTGTCTGAAACGCTTCTGTGTAGATTCAGTCTCTAAGCCCCGCCTCTCTGCGAGCTGCTCTGCTGTGATTGGTCAGAAAGTAAACGCTCATTATCATATCTGAATCTCAGCTCTGATGCGAACAGTGACGATGGCGTGGGTTTTACCGTCTCAATCTCAGAAAACAGCGTCTTCTCGACACGAGTCGAACTCTCCCAGTCTCAGATACACTAGTGTTTGAGGGCGGGGCTAACAGACGCTGCTCAGCCAATCAACACCAGAGGCTGGCAAAATGCTAATTAGTTACAAACCTACAGATTCAGCAGGAAGTGAGACTGGAATTACTGACGCCAACTTTTCTTCCGTCACACTTTAGTTTAGGGTCCAGTTCTCACGATTAACTAGTTTCTTATTATCATGCATATTACATATTTGTTGTTTAATATTACTTATAAAGCACATATTAATGCCTTATTTTGCATGACCATATTCTACATCCCGTAAAGGGATACTCCACTTTTTTTTTGGAAATAGGCTCATTTTACAACTCACCCAGAATTAAACAGTTGAGTTTTACCGTTTTTGAATCAATTCACCCGATTTTCTGATATTTAGAAGAATATCAGTAGCCAGACCGTTTCTGGACTCATTGACTTCCATAGTAGGAAAAAATATATACTATGGTAGTCAATGAGACCAGAAACTGTCTGGTTACTGATATTCTTCTAAATATCAGAAAATTGTCTGAATGGATTCGAAAACGGTGAAACTCGACTGTTTAACTCTGGGGGAGTGGTAAAATAAGATTAAGATTAAGATTCAATACTTTATTGCCATACAACTCGTTACAAGTTGTTAGGGATTTGCTTGAGTGTGCTCATACAAACAAAATACAATCAAGGACGTAAATAGAACAACAATATACACCACAATATCCCCCAAGGGATAACACTTGACACAGATAGATAAAAATAAAAAGAACACACCGCTCACCACATACTTGGATGATAGTTATAGTAATTGATATCAGATAGGTGTGACAATTACATGTGATACAGTGCATAAATCCACAGCTATGCAATAAATAATTAGTCAATAAAATCACTGATTTGATAGTCATAAAATATACAAAAAAGTATAATAAAACACTGTAAAACAAGTGTATAATAAAAAAAGAAATACTGCAGTCTCGTTAAGAGAACCTTTTCCTCATAAGTGATTGGTGAGGACTGTTAAGATATTTAATAGCTCTGCAATATGTACTATTGAGGAAGCGGGAGGTTTTAGTCTTAATAGCTCTTATCCTTCTTCCTGATGGAAGTATGGAAAAGAGGAAGTTAGCAGGGTGGGTACCATCTTTTAAGATTCTAAGGCCTTTGAAAAATGAGCCCATTTCCAAAAAAAGGGGAGTATCCCTTTAAGAAACGTAACAACTACCATACTATCCGCAAAAAGCATAACAGCTGCACTGTAAATGAGAGTGTGAGCATCTACTGAGTGATGTGAAGAACACTACTAACCGGGCAGGAGTGTGTATGTGCACGACAGACACGTCTGGTCGGATGCGTTCCTCCAGCTCAATCCCCACAGGTGACCGCAGCACTGCTCCAGCGTCATGAGGGACGAGTTACCAACCCCGGGGAACTCCTCACACGTCCAGGTGGAGAAGCACTGACCCCGCGCACCCACTCCTGCACACACACACATGCATATCAGCAGAACATGCGTCAACAAGACCTTCTCTGGACACACAGATATAATAACATATTCAACAAGACTCGAGGCGTGTGGTCCGATCTCACCGTGAGAGCAGTGCGGGCCGGCCCAGCCTTCACAACACTGTCTGAGCGTGCGGTTCAGCGTCTCCGTCTCAATCTCTGGAGGTCTGACACACACACACACACACATGATGCTTTAGTAACAATATGTGGATCACTTTTCTCATTTTAATTACATGTTTGAAATGTAAATAGCACTGTAAGTATTTTAAAACATTAATAAAACATATTCTTAACATTATTTTTAGGGGGAAAAAAATCTATGAAAATGAATAATAATTTATTTCTTTTCATTTCCTTTTCCTCTTCAGAACATGATCATTAATAACAGAACATATTTAAACAAAAAATAATAAAAACAAAATCTCAGCATGTTCAAAAGAGAAGAAAAAGAATATAGAAAAAAAGGAGAAGGAAGAAGCTAACTTATATTTGCCTTCCCCTTTTACAAATCTAGCTTTGAAACGGCTACTGTTTTCTCTTTACAAAATATCATAATTTATCCTTTTTGAGAAACAAAAAAAACGTAATCATTCGCAGTACATTTTATCTAAAAATAAGTCACACGATACAATTATAAAGTGGAAAAGAAAAACAAAAATAATAAATAAATTAAAAACACAAAATGTAATACTGACAATAAAATAAATATTAATGGAATGGCAAGAAACAGACTGTATGATACTTCAAATCAACCTCTTTGAGAGGAAATGAGACATTTGTCCCAGTCTACCTTAAATCATATACTTTTCTACTAAAAATCTATTCAAATATTCTACGAAAAAATAATTATTTTGATTTTGAAATGGCGATGTTTTTGAAAGACTGTGATTTTATAGAAACAAAATATTTAATAAATTGAACTGAAAAATTGTGAAACTTTTGACATCTAATAGCTCTAATTGTTTTTTAAAAAATAATCCAACGGTTTGTGATTAATCGACAAGGCTTTTACAATTATTCTAGCACAGAAATATGGAAATTTCCATTCAAAAAGGTTTTAGGGAGATTGACAATATATATACACAGTGTATATTTGTGCTTTCAAATCAATTAATTGCTAGTAATCGCAACTGACATAAAAGTTTTGGTTTGAATAATTTGTGTATGTATATATATACGTATATTAATATATAATATATTATATCTATATATGCACTGTATTTATATACAGATTTTTTAAACAATTAAATAACAATGATTTGAGACTAATTTAAATGAGAAAAATGATTTTATATAGATATTTATGTTTGTTTTAAAGCTGTTTTTGTCTTATTTAAAATAATTTCAAGTCACCCTCCTGGTTGGGAACCACTGAGTCATGTTATTACCAAGTTCAAACAACAAACGATAAAACTAATTGTAAAACCGATGTTTGAAATAGATCAGATACATTTCTTCATTAATGACAGAATAGCTGTGATGCTGGAGTTATTTCCTCACTTGAATATGTAACAGGACGCTTTGGACCCCTGTCCCTTGTAATAAAGGGCGATGCCGTCGTCTCCGCCGTGTTCGTGCCGCATCCGGTCCACGTCCAGCCTCCAGCCCTGTGTGTTAAACTGATAAACCGAGGAACAGTCCACCTCTCGCTGCTCACGGGGGGACAGCATCCTCTCCACCGTCTCCTGCACCGTGTGTTCACACCAGTGCCTGGGGTCAGGGGTCAGAGGTCAGGGGTCAGAGAAAGCGGATCAGGCTTTTACAGCTTCTTCTAGTCAGGGTTACGGCTTTTTTAAAAACATTGCATTAAAACTTGGGCAACGATTAATCACATCCAATAAAAGTATATGTTTGTGTTTACATATGTGTGCTGTGTATAAATAAATAGACACACATGCATATATTAAGAAATATTTGCATGTATATATATATTTATACATAATTTATATTATTTATAAATATACATATTTGATATGTAAATAACACATTATTCATAAATATATGCATGCATGTGTTTGCATTTATTTATTATTTTATTGGATGTGATGAATGGTGATTGGCCAGCACTGATGTAAAGTTGTGTTGCAGTAGAACATCTCACCCCATGACCCCGGCCAGATGAAGCGCCAGAACACACACCAGCACAACCCTCATCGTGTCTCTGAAGAGCTGAACTTCTTTACCATCAGCCTGGAGAAGAGGACACAGGACACTTCAGTTATAATCCAACCAATCCGTTTGTGTTGAAAGTGTTTGAGGTTATTTACATCCATCTTTATATACAGCTCAAATTTCATTTGTCACCTTTTGATCATTCCCATTAATATATTGGAGATTTCATGACTTATTTGTCCAAATTATTAGGTACTTTGCATCCAAAGGAACAAAGATACGTTTTTTTTCCCCGCTAACGTTCAGTTACAATACAATTATTTTTTTAATGTTCTCTAGTAGTTCAAATCATCCAGTTTATTCAAACTTTTTTTCTTAGTTACACAAGCATTAAGAGAATATTCCATTTTGCAACGTTTCCTGATTTTAATTACAATAATTCTAAACAAGTTCAATGAAAAAACACCTTTAAAATGGGCATGTTTTTAAAAAACTGTGATTCATTAAACAAAATATTTAATAAATGAAATTTTCCTTGTTCTTTTGACGAATAAGAGGTCACTGCACTATAAAAATAATCCAACCGTTTATGATTATTCGATAAACTCCATGAAAGTCCAACTAAAATGTTTCAGGAAAAACGTACCATGAATGTTGTATAAAAAATGAGGTTTTGAGAACATTATTAAAAACATACTTTAAATGAATGTTATATAAACGTTACTGGAAGAATGTTTGAGAACATTGCCAGAACATAAAATCTCAATTAAAGTGAGACATGCTTTTAAAAACACAATGATGCAGGACTACAGTCATGATATATAGTGATTAATAATACATAAACATGAGTTTTTACCTCAGTCAGATGTCTCCACAAATTGATTGGTTGGTCTTTATTTATTCCCAATATATTCCAGATCCAGATGAGCCTCAGTGCCTCTCTCTTCCACAGGTGTAAAGCGGCCTTTGGTCGGGTTGGCAGGTTTTAAATGGCGAGGGGTGGACGGGTCTTGGTAACATGTGGAAAGCGTGTCATTGGTGGAAGTCTGAAGGGTCACAGCTGTAGATGCATCCATTAGTTCATCATCTGGTGACGCCAGCGCTCCTCCATCACACCGGAGAGAGTGGATCCCTCTGATGGAGGCTGTTTGCGCACGTCTAATCCTATAAAGACTCACTTTGGTGGAAGGATTTGAGGGGCGTTTATTTAATAAAGTAAGTCAATAGGTGAGGAGCAGGGGGCATGTAAACGCCACAACATCTCTGAGCTTAGAGAACCAGATCCGGGGCTTTCCAGACACAAACACAGCTGCTACCATACAACATTTCCCTGCAATCGGAGAAGATTTCCTCTTCTTTCACCACACGTGTCTCTTGAGGAGAGTCTTAAACTATAGAAATGTGTGTGTTCAATCACACTACTGAGGAAGAACAGCATCAAGAGCAGAACATGTCCTCCCATCCATCCGTACACTGTAATAAAGTGCTAGGCAACAATTAATCGGAAAAAGCTGTATATATATATATATATATATATATACCCGAAGACCCGGGTTCGAATCCACTGTGAGACACCAATGTGTCCCTGAGCAAGACACTTAACCCCTAGTTGCTCCAGAGTAAACAAACTTTTATTTGGGATGCGATTAATCGTTGCACAACACTAAATAAAGCGAATGTTACTTTTTAACCAGTTCGTTTTACAAGAAAATACCATTTCAGTTTAATTCATTTCAAGCAATTTCCGACTGAAATTGTTTCTAAGTAATTCCCACACCAGTGTTTTTACAGTGCGCAATATTACGCTTGAACGAGTGACCTCTGACCTCATTAGTGAAGATGTTAAGACACTTCCTCCAATCTCAGGCTAACACACAGAGTCACTATCAGTCAGTTTGAAGTGCAAACGATGCGATTCTGTGATGCTTTTGAAACGCTGATCTCCTTGTTTGAGCAGCTCCATGTACAGACCAGCCTCAATTATACAGTAGTTATCTAAAACTGAAACCAAATCGATAAGAAATCTCTTTTGGAAGGCGGCTCGGTATATTTGAGACCAAACAAGAACATCTCAAATGATATTGTTGAAAGTATGAAAAGAAAGTGTCTAAGCTCGATCACAGCGGGCAAATGATGTACGGGAAAAACAACAAATGATACATTTGTAACAACCTTGGTGAATAAATGTATCAAGTTTTTAAAACTAAAATTAATTTGACTTGTGTTACATTTAAAAGCCTCTGCTAATGTGTCCTTAGGTTAAAATTATATATATATATACACAATTATATATATATATATATATATATATATTTATATATAAATATATAATTGCAGAATATAGTGTTTCTTAATGTTATGATGTGACTCTTGGGCGAAAAAACAATAAAACATTTTCAAATAATGAGCAATAAATAGAGTTAAATAAAACTTGTTTATAAAGACTTGGATAGCATTAGTTTATTTGTCTTGCTGGCCTATCTTTGGGGTTTTTAAACCAATAGGCTTGACTTGTGACAAAGTTTAAAGTGCAGGGAAGCAGCGAACATTAAACAAACTTTAATCCAAAAAACTAAACAAACAGTCAAGAGCAAGTGAAGAATTTAAACTGAGCACAAAAAAAAATACTTATAATTTTAAGACACAAATATAAAATTGTTTTATTATTGCATTATCTTAATTTTGCACCCATAACAGCACTAAAATCACCTGCTGATTTTCCTGCACTGTAGTCGTGAATAATCAGCTGGACAATAACTTTATTCTAGATCTGCTGTAAAGCCAAACCAATCTTACTTTATTTTCCTGTTATCACTGTAACGCTGCTGTGAAACTCGACGTTCTCTAAAGCGCTGTATAAATGAAGGAGACTGTACTTGATAACAGATTACAGCTTTGTGGATTGAAGTGTTTTTCATTAAACTCTGCAGGCCAGAATTATGAAAGGCACAAGCTAATAATTAACTAGAACAGCCTCATATTACATGATGGCCTACTTCATTTCAGATGGTTTTGTCTGGTGTGAAACTAACAGTAACAGCATTATCTGTCTTTCCAATCAGTCTCGCAATGTAATTCACTACAGCTCTCAGAAAATGTTTGCAAATGTTTGTTTCCCATTGAAAATGTATAAATGAGCTGTACTGATTTAACATGTGAACTGCATTGTAAAGTTTCTGCATCTGGGCTTTTGTTTAAATTCCTTTTTATGTTATTATTCTCTTCAAACAGCTATAAATATACAATTCACCATAAACATCAGTGTTTGATTTAAAGTCCCCCTGTAGTCAATAGTAAACCCTTACAACTCATCTTTGATCACCAAAATGAAATATATAAACGTTTTTTTTCCTTGCCTTAAAAATAACTTAAAGTCCCCGTGAACCGGAAGTTGCAAACGATTTTTCTCCAGTGCTGTGACGTATTTCCAAGTGAAACGGAATATTGAACAGAGGGCAGGGTTTGACTCTAGCGCTCCTCCTCTCCATCTCTCGCTCATAGCAAACTAACGGTTTGAGGGGAGTGGTTAAGCGTTTCCCCACCCAAACTGTGAAACCTACGTCATCAGAAAAAGAAACCGTTCCAGACCGGAAGTAACTTTTCAGATTTTGATTAAAGATTACTAAGGTAAAACATTTTTTTAATATATATTCACTTGCACGGATTAATTGTTCACCACAAGACTAGTAATATGCGCTAGCAAAGTAAATAGGTTCAATTTTGATTTCACGGGGACTTTAAAGGGTTAGTTCACCCAAAAATGAAAATTCTGTCAGTATTTACTCACCCTCGTGTTGTTCCAAACCTCTATGTGTTTATTTGCTCTGCTGAACACAAAGGAAGATATTTGGAAGAATGTTTTAATCAATTTTTAATCTGTTTTTAATCCGTAAACAAATCTCATTCCCCATTGACTACCATAGTATGTATTTTTTGGGTATTGAGATCTGTTTGATTAAAACATTCTTCCAAATATCTTCCTTTGTGTTCAGCAGAACAAATAAACACATAGAGGTTTGGAACAACACGAGGGTGAGTAAATACTGACAGAATTTTGATTTTTGGGTGAACTAACCCTTTAAGAAGACTAGCCTTTATCTGCAGTGTAAACCTAGAACCATCCGGGAGTGAAAAAATACTCAAAGTTAGTGCATTTTATGTCTGTTTTAATCAACACTTGGAGAGTGAAAATGTACTTCCCTAACTCATTTGTGTCTGTGGCGTAGAGCCCAGGTCAGGTCAGTTTGAGGTTTTATTAAATGGAATTTGTTTACATTAAAGAATACACAACAACATTATTTTGGTTTAATACACTTTATTTAAACTTTCGTTTGGAATTAAGTGTGCACACATACTTTAACGTTTAGTTTAAGTTTATTCTTACCGTTCTTTTAGTTTGTTTGATACGTCACGTCTGAGTCCTGTGGTGCACCATCAAAAGGGGTTCGAGTGGAAACATAGCGGACTTATATATATGGTTCCGATGATCGGGTCACAACCATTCCGGTTTCTGCTCCGGGGGAACTCGCTTTTGCTTTTCTTTTGTTTGTTTATAAGAAGTACATTTATTAAGTGAAGTCATTTGATAGTATTATTTGAGGTGTTTGTTTATGTATATTGGGTGTTTTCATATTCGTTTATTGTGTGTAATGGCCACTATATGTCTATGTATCCCCCTTGTTTGGTTTACCACCATTGGGTTAGCATTGGCTTTACTTTTGTAACCCCATCCTGTGGAAATAAACCCCTACACGTTTGCTGTACCCTGATGCCTCCGTGTTCTTTTATCCTTTACTGGTCACATCTATCACAGTATCACAGTCAAATCTATACTGGTCAAATCTATCATGTTTCAACACTTTAAAACATCAGTAGACACATTCAAATCTTGAAAACATGCATGTTTTATATTCAACAATATTTTACACAAAATGACCATTCCACATCTCATACAAACACATGTACAGGAACCACATATTGGAGTAATTTCAATCATCTTTAACATTTGAATGCAATTCCTCCATATGTTCAACAACAGTCGTTATGACACTAGCCATAGTCTTGGAGTTTCGCAATAAGGGATGCACACATTTCTTGGGTATGTTGCCTGGTCTCATTACAGCTTATAGGATTAAATTAACTACGGGTTCATCTATGACAGGTGCGTTCTCAAATGGACTTTTAGCAGTACTTTCTTATGGAGATGTTTGAAAAAGTCCAAAATCTCGGGTGGTATCCAGTCTGGTCACACATCAATTGAAACTTCTTACCAGGGGGTTAGGGTTAGGCTAGAGATCCACTTGTCCGAGCGGCACTTCTGTCGCTCCGCACTCCGCTTTATTCCTATGGGTGACGTCAGGCGACTTTAACACGCCCGCAAAGCATCCCGGGAAGGCGGCGCTTCATTTGGAAAAATGCTGCGCGTCAAAAAGCTGGCCGATGCCTATCTTTATGCAAATGAGTTCCGTTGAACGCGTCGTGACTATCCAATAGAAGTAGAGCATATGGAGACGGCGGGAAGTCTCTCGCAAGTCCTCTATTCTAGACTGGCCGCTGGCTCAAAACCACACTCATAGCGTTAAACATGAGGAACGCCCATCAAAGTACAAATGTGGGGAGGCGTCGCGACTACACGCGAATGTCGTGTCGGACAAGTGGATCTCTACCGTTACTTGTTCGACTTGAACCGGCGCTGCACAGAGCGATCGGTCATGACATCAAAGTACCGCGAGAGTGATTGAAAAGAATACGGAGCCGTCGCTCTCACGCTAATTTGATGTTATTCACCGATCGCTCTGTGCTGCACCGGTTCAAGTCGAACAAGCTTATTTCGCGTGCAAAGAAAACACACGAGGCTACATTGCGCATGCGTCGAACCGTGAGACGCACACACGCTCCGAACCGAGACGAGCAAACCGAACGGTTCGGATGTTTTTTCATGTACCATGCCACCCCTAATATCAAGCATGCTAGATATTTTCTTGGGTTCTTTGATGCATTATTGGCTCTTTCATACTAACAGATTGGCAAGCAAGCGTTCATCGGCCGCTAACCCCTCGCGATTTCCACGCGACAACACCCTGACCTGTCGACGAGCTCAACGATTTGCAAATCGGGCTTAAAATCGTATAGTGTGAACTAAGCTTACTCTGAGAAGTCGTCTGAGCGAAAGAGTGAAACACTCGCCTGTATGGGAGTTCGTCGGCTTGAAAGAAAACCGCACTTTAAAGGGGGTCACACACCGGACGAGAAGCGTAGCACCACGTCTCTAAAATTCGAACACGTTTTCTCATCGAGTGTGTACACACCGGTTGTGCCATTCGGCGTCTGTCCGCAGCGCCCAGCAACGGCTCTTGATCAAAATCCTGCTGCGACACAGAGCGCCATTACACATGCGTGCTTTGGGCGCATGAGAGCGTTTTGGCAGCGCAGCGTTTTTTTCCGTTGAGACGTTTCGTTGCTATGATACAGAATATACGCAGCAGTTTGAATGTTGTGACAGTTGGTCGGTGTGGTATTAGTCCCGCCCCTCCTCCACTGTGATTGGACGGCTGGGTAA